CAGGATTGGGCCGCGAGGTCCGAAGGCATTGTGGCCGGCGCCGCCCAGCGAACGAGGGAAAAGACGCGTGGCCTTTCGGCCCCCCCCCCCCCCCCCGCCGGAGCAGCGCGCCAGGGCAGGCCCTGGTGGAGACACAAGGGGACTGGGTTCCGCGGACCGTTCCAGAACGGGGGCGGAAAAAACAGCGCCCCTTTGCGGCCGGCCTCGCCCCCCCGGAGGAGCGGGCGCCGCTCGGCGGGTCGGGATTTCCGCGTGTCCGTGTTGGCTGGGCGGCGGCGGCGGCGGCCGATCACCCGGCGGCATCCCTGCGCCCCTCTCCCGCCCCCCCCCGGGGGGGGGATACCGCAGCCGGCCGGTGGAGGCGGATTCGTCATCGACGTGCCATGCCCCGGGCGCCGCCGAGGGGTGGGCCGGGGACGGGAGGGGACGGAATGCACCGCTGTGCCATTCCTCCCTCCGGAGGAAGCGCCCTCTCGAAAAGGAGAACACAGTAGCGCGCTCCCCCAGGCTGGCCGTCGCGCTGGAAGTAAAGAGCCGCCTCTCTGCGGCTGGGCCCCTGCCGGTCCCCCGGCAGGGGGAGGGGGGGGGGGGGGGGGAGCAAGCTTTTTCGATCGGTTGTCCCGCTGCCCCCTGCGCCGCGCGAAGATCCCCCCCGCCCGGGGAACAGGATGGGGGGCGGGCGAGCACCACCCAGGACAACGCGAGCGTTATTTCACCGGGGTCTCACTGCCCCCGGACCGGAGGGTAGCGTGGCGGCCGAAGGTTGCGAGAATCATCCTCGCCGGCGGCTCGAGCGCCGGGTGGGCCCAATCCGAATACGGGTGCACACCCACGATATTGCCTTTCCTCAGGGGGCTGCAATGTGGGCTTTCAGCCTCTCTCTCTCTGTCTCTCGCTCGCCCGAGCTTGTCCCCGGCCCTCGGCCCTCGCCTCCAGGGCACCTTCTCCTGCAACGAAGGAACCACACGCGCATGAAAAGGGCACACAGGCAATCTGGGCACCGGAGTGTCCGCGAAAACAGAGGGGTGTGTAGCTTGGCCCTTTCCGAGTGTACAGCCAAGTAGGCGTGTGTGTGCGTGGACATGCAGTTGCCGCCGCATCGGCGCATATTCACCCCCACATCTGGCGGCTCAGTTTCGGCCGCAGCATTGTCGGGGGGGGGCGGGAGGGGGGAGCGGGGGCCGAAGTGCTCGCCCGCTCCTGGCCGACTGGCCTAACTGACTGCCCAATAAGCCGCGCGCCTCCTGGCAGAGTGCTTTTTCCGCGAATGCACGCTCCCCGGCCCCGCCTTCCTGCCCCACCGGGGCCGATGCCGCCGGGGGGGGGGGGGGGACCCCGCATCAACCGCCGCCCCTCCCCGGGCTGATGGGGGAGCGTGCGCAGGAAAGAGCGCAGCAACACGAGCCGGCGAGGCGACAAGACAAAGGCGTGAAGGGCCGGCCAGCCAGCAAGGAGCCTGCCGGGACCTGGACCTGACGCGCCAAATGTGGGCGCATTGTTGACTTGGCTCCTTGAGGGTGGACTAGCCACCCTCGCAGAAGGCCTGGGTGGGAGGAGGGCCAAGCGACTCCGGGGGCATGCTTGCACACGCGCATTCGGTCGCCGCCCCCCTCCGCGCCCATCCCATTCATCCAACACACACACAGAGAGAGAGAGAGAGAGTCACCCACACGCGCGCGCCCGGACAGCCTCTGGCCTGCCGAGCCCCGCCCACCCACACGGAGCGGGCGAAACCCCGGTCTCTTCGGCGTCCGAAAAGAGTTCGGAGCCCCGGGCGGAACAGGTGGTCTTGACCCCCGCGCGCGTGCGCCCGGCCGGCCGGTCGTTGAGCCGACATTGGCCAGACACATCCCCCCTGGCGCCGGAGGAGGCCCAGCCCGCCCGGGCCCTGCCCTCGCGATGCTTCGGTTTCACAACGGTACCCGCCGCCGTGGGGAGGCCGAAGCGTCCGGGCCGCGCCAACGAACTCCCCGGCCCCGAGCCCCAGGCCCCAAGCCCCGGCATGGCGTGCTCGCGAGTGTGTTCGTTCCCCGGCGCACGCACAGACACACACGCACACACCGGAGGAACGAGAGAGACGGAGAGAGGGACCAGGGGAGGCCCAGATACACATGCACACGGGCACCCGTTTCCGCACGCACACGCACGCGCCCACGCCCCCGGGCACTCCTGACCCCCGGGGGGGGGGGGGGGGGGGGGGGGACCACAGTGCCAGTCCCCCACAACACCGCCCCCCCCAACACCGGGCCCACGCCCCAACCTCCCCCATCCCCCCCACCCCATTCGAGTCCTCTCTCCCCCCCCCCCCCCCACCCCGCCCCTCCAGCTTCGTCGCCTCGCGCGCCCCCCCCCCCTCTCCCCCTCTCCCTCTTCCCATCTCGGAGGCTTCGTCCCCCCCTCCTTTCCTCCGGCCCCGCATCCCTTTTCTCCACCCCAATCCTTCCCAGACGCGCTGACCATGGGCTGCACGTCGAGCAAGCAGAAAGACCGCATCACGTCGGACATCGATGATTCACTGGCCGAGAGTGATGCGCGCGGCGAGCTCAACCTCAAGATTCTGCTCCTGGGTACGTCAGTGTTGCTTGAGGGGGCTCTTCCCCGGCCACCCATCAATTTCCTTTGCAAATCCCCCCCCCCCCCCCATCATGGTGAGAATACCTGATCACCATCCTGCTCTTACACGTATTTGTCCCCCCCCCCCTTCCCCCTCCAAGGCCCCGGTGAGTCCGGCAAGTCCACCTTCCTGAAGCAGATCAAGCTCATCTATGACATCAAGCTCACTGATGTGGAGCTCTCCACTCTGGCCAGCAGTCTCAAGCGCAACACCATGCAGTGCATGCAGATTCTCGTGGACAAGGCCCACCAGTTCGACCTGAGCCTCGGCGTGGACGAGGTGCGTACTGCGCGCGCGCGCACGCGCACGCGTCAAATCTCCCCTTCCCCCCTCCCTCCCCCCCTCCTGGCCACATGCTATTCCTCTCGTCCGAGAGAGAGAGAGAGAGAGAGAGACCTGCTGTCTCCTTCCCCGCACGTGCTCTGTCACTCATCCCCGCGCACCATCCAAATGCCTGTGCATATGCCTGCGCCCCGTCCCATGAACGCCCCCATCCACACGACAGGAGATCGGCCAGGCCATCCTCGACTATGAGCTTGGCGATGACTCCAACTTTGACGGCACCATTGCCGAGATTGTGTCCATCCTCTGGAAGAACCCCGCCATCCAGGAGACTTTTAAGCGCCGCAACGAGTTCTGGATTCTCGAGGCCGCTCCTTAGTGCGTCCCCTTGTCCTTTTTGTTGATGATGCTCTGGCCTTTTGGCTTGCTCTTTTCATCGGCCAGAGGCCCCCTCCCCCCTCACATCCAGGGCTTCTCGGCAAGGACCCCGACACACACACACACACACACACACCTTGCCCTCCTCTATATCATCCTCCTGACGTCCATCCACTGCCCCCCCCCACCGACAGTGGCAACCGATGCGCGCGCGGGTGTGCCTTCCTGGCACGCATCCTGGCTCCGCAATGATTGCTGGTGCTGGTGCTGGTGCTGTCTGCCCCCCCCCCCCCCCCCCTACACCCCCCCCCCCCCCCCCCCCCCCCCTTCGCCCCGCGCGCAGCTACTTCGAGAATGTCCAGCGCGTGGCTTCGCCCGACTTCCAGCCGACCGAGCGCGATATCGTCATGACTCGCGTCGTGACCACTGGCATCACCTCGACTCAGATCAACATCCCCGAGAAGCAGATGGCCTACACCATTGTCGATGTGGGCGGCCAGCGCAATGAGCGCCGCAAGTGGATCCACTGCTTCGATCGCGTCAAGGCGGTCCTTTTCGTCATCAATCTGGCCGAGTGCGTGAATGCCCCCTTCTCTCGGTTATGCCGCTGTGCCCGCCTATTGCCCTCCGGCGTCACGTCAGACACGCGTGTCTTCCTTTCTCCCCCACCCCACACTGACAGCTGCTCCCTTTCCTCGCCCCCCTATCCAAACACACACACACACGCACGCACGCACGCACGCACGCACGCACACAGTTACAACAACGTCCTCTACGAGGATACCCTGGTCAACCGCATGACCGAGGCTGTTCAGCTGTTCGCCACCACCGCCAACAACACCCTCTTCGAGAACACCCCCTTCTTCCTGGTGCTGAACAAGCGCGATCTCCTGGAGGAGGTCCTGCCCACTCGTAGCATTCAGACCTGCGAGGCCTTCTCCGACTATACCGGCGATCGGAATGATGTCAACGGTGTCATCGAGTTCATTTCGGCCAAGCTGCGCGGGATGGTGCACAATGGCGACCCCGGCCGGGTGCATGTCCTGCCCATGTCGGCCTGCCAGCGCTCGGAGATTGAGACCGCCTGGGAGCTCATCAAGAAGACCCTCGAGGAGAGCTACTCGGAAAAGCTTGATGCCTCTCGCAAGTATCTGGCCGATCGCGGCCTGGATGTCGGCCCCAGCCAGTCGTCAACCTGAGTGGCCCTGGGGCTGCCTTGGTGGCAGGACGACTGTGCCTCTCTGGGGCCCCCTCTCTCTCCCTCCCCAGGCAGTGTGTGTGTGCACTGACTCCGGACCACCAGACAGGGCCACCGGCACAGGAGACCGCCCCTGGAGCCCAGGTCTCTCTCGTCCCCCCCCCCCCCCCCCCCTCTTTAGCAGGAATGATGGAGAGGGCGCGCGTGCTGCCCTTCCCCCTTCTTTTTCGTTTTTTTTCCCCCCCTAGAGGACGGCGCCCCCCTCCTTCTTTTCCTGTGCGGATGGAACACCACATTTTGCAAATAAAAAAATTTACACAAAGAAGACCGCTTGCCTCTTGTCCTCGGTCCTTCTTCAGGCCAGGGGGAGCACATAGCCGGGTGATGGCGGGTCTGCCAGAGAGACCGGAGCAGGGAGGAGGGGCGGGGATGGACAAGTACATTCGATGGATTGCCAGGAGAGGGGACAAAGGGACGCACGGAGGACAGGAAGGGGGGAGAGTATACGACATGTGCGTGTGGGTGTGTGGGTGGGTGGGTGGGTGTGAATTCATATATACACACACACACACACACACACGTCTCCCAAGCATGAGGCCTGGAAAAGAGGCCGGCTTAGAAGCCAGACACTCCGATCTCCTTGATCAGATCGCTGACCTTCCCAACCGACAAGCCGACCAGCGACTCGAGGGTGGCCCCGCCGTAGCAGCTTCGGCACCACTGCTCGTATTGGGTGATGCGAGAGATGAGCTCCATCTCGATATGGTGGCTGGCAGCATTGAGCTGGCCCTCGGCAGACTTGGAGAAGTGCCTCCGCAGCGACTGGTACGTGTGCCGGAGGGCCTTGCGGAGCTGGGAGGGCGGGGGATGGGTCACAGTCAGGAAGTGTCACGCGGGGGGCGCCGAAAGGGAGCAGCAGGAGGTGACACTGGCGGAGGGCAGCCCCGCACGCACATCGGACAGGGCGTTCACGCCAGCCGCGCGAACCAGGGCATTACGGCTGTACGTCACCACAAAGCCCACCTCCTCCGGCTTGCGGCCGGAGTCCAGCAAGCCTCGCACGCCGGACATGAATTCGCCCAAACGCCCGAGGGCCCGAGTGACGCAGTACACCGCGTAGAAGTCCAGATACGCCTTGTACAGTTTGTTGGCGGCCGCCGTATACGGCGCCAGGCAGCGAATCTTCAGGGTGTTGAATTCGTGCGCAAAGTGGTAGCAGTTTTCCGCAATCAGAACCGCCGCGTCGCGCTGGCCCTTCTCCCCGAGCGAGACAAGCAGCTGGTTGGCAGCCGCCACATTGTGAAGCACCCCGGGTGGGGGCTCCGGCTCGGACAGGAACAACGGCAGGGAGGAGAGCAGCCGCCGAGCCATGCGTGCATAGTCCGTATCCAGGAGAGCCCGCGCCTTGGCCGCGCGCAGGGCGCAATCCGTCTCCACCTCGGTGGTAAGTTCCGGTGACACGAGCTGCGAATAGGAGAGGTCCACCTCGAAGCAGGCCTCAATCCGGCGGATCATGTTCTTCGGAAAGGTAGAGGAGCGGGGGGGGGGGGGGGGGAATGGGCAGGAGAGATTAGCAAAAACCCAAGGGGGCTCCTCAGGCGAAAAACCCCGTGGACAATGATGGACTGACGCACCGGGAACACTTGGAAGGATTCGAGCATGCCGCGCTTGCGCACAGTAATCCCGCATACCGGAGCGATGGACTGAAGCGAGGCGCCGATCATGTCGGTGTACTCGCGCAAGATGATGTCGGTGCTGAAGCGCTCGATCATCCCCCGAAGGAAGGGCTCATTCACAAGGCGGTACTTGCAAAGGACCTCGCATGCCACCATGAAGGAGACGCTGATGGTGGGGTCGGCCCGGAGGGCATTCTTGGCCAGAGAGTGTAGTGAGTCGTTCAGATTGTCGAACGACATGTCCAGGAACTTTTTCTCCTTCTCCGAGAGTTCGGCGAACATGGTCAGCGGGTTGAGTTTCTCCGCCGGCACCCGACGCTTGGGCTTGAAGAAGATGGCGTAGAAACCACGCTCACCGAGGCAGTACTGGTAGACGATCTCGAGGAAGCGGAATAGGCCCTGGAAGGGAGTGGGGGGGAGAGAGAGAGAGGGAAAGGGATGGAAAAGTGAAATTAGGAAAGGCAGGCG